CGACAGGGGCACCTCGCTGGCTCAGTTGGTTGAGCATCCGACTTCGGCTTACGTCCTGATCTTGTGGTTTGTGAGTTTGAGCCCTGTGTCAGGCTCTGTACTGACAACTCAGAGCCTGAAGCCTTCTTTGGATTCTCTCTCTGTCTCTGTCTCTCTGCACCCCCCACCCCCTCAAAAATAAATAAACATTAATTTAAAAAAATCCAATGACATTTTTCTCAGAAATAGAACAAACTTTCCTAAAATTTGTGTGGAACCTCAAAAGACCCCAAATGACCAAAGCCATCCTGAGAAAGAACGACAGCGGCATCATACTTCTCACTTCAAACTATATTACAAGGCTCTAGCAATAGAAACAGTATGACATTGGTGTAAAAATAGACACATAAAGAAGTGGAAGAGAATTGACCACCCAGAAATAAACCTTCATGTTTACAGTCAGCTAATATTTGATGAAGGAGTCAGACTTACTCAACAGGAAAAGGATAAGATCTCTTCAATAAGTGGTATTTGGAAAACTGGATAATCACACACAGAAGAATGTGATTAGATTTGTAACTCACACCACAAAAATTAAGACAAGATGTGTTAAAGACTTAAAATACCTGAAACCATGAAACCCTTAGAGGAAAACGCAGGGAGAAAGTTCTTTGACGTTTATCTTGGCAGGGATTTTTTGGGTATGACACCAACACACAAGCACCAAAAGAAAAATAAATGGAACTACATCAAACTGAAAAGCATCTGCACCTCAGAAGTAACAATCAGCAAAATTAAAAGATAGCCTACAGAATGGGAGGAAATATTTTCAAACCGTGTATCTGATAAGGGGTCATTAGCTAAAATATACAAGGAACTTGTACAACTCAGCAAAACACAATCTGGTTTAAAAATGGGGAGAGAAACTGAATAGATGCTCTTTCCAAAGAAGACATACAAATGGCCAAAAGTTACATGAAAAAATGCTCAGCATCCCTAATCAGGGAAATGCAAATCAAAACCACAGTGAAACATGACCTCACATCTGTTAGAATGGCTGTCATCAAAAAAGGCAAGAGAGAGCCAGTGTTGATGAGCATGTGGAAAAACAGGAACCCTCGTGCACTGTTGATGGGGATGTAAATTGGTGTGACCACTATGGAAAACAATATGGAGATTCCTCAAAAAGAATTAAAACTAGAGCTATCTTATCCAGCAGTCCCACTTCTGCATATAGTTCCAATGGAAATGAAATCAGAATCTCAAAGAGGTATCTGCACCCCCACGTTCATTACAGTATTATTCACAAAAGTCAAGATCTGGAACAACCTTAATGTTCAGCACTGGATGACTGTATAAAGAAGATATGGTGTACATATACATATATGTGTGTGTATACACGTACATACGTAATTACATATATACCTACAATGGAGTATTATTCAGACATGAGAAAGGAAATCGTGCACTTTGCAAAAACTTGGATGAACTTTGAGGGCATTGTGCTATGAGAAATGAGTCAGAGAAGACAAAATAGTGTATAATTTTCTATGAGGAATCTAAAAAAGATGAACTGTAGAATAGAGTAGTGGTGGTGGTTGTCAGGGCTGGGGGTGGGGCAAATGGAGAGATTTCAATCTAATGTTATAAACTTCTAGTTATACACTGAATAAGTTCTTGAGATCTAACGTATAGCCAGGTAGCTATAGTTAACAGTACTGCATTATATGCTTGTAAGTTGGTAAGAGAGTGGAACTTAAATGTTCTTACCATGAAAAGAAAAAAAAAATGGGAATCATGTGAGGTAATGGAAGTGTTAACTAATCCTGTTGTGGTAATTGTTTCACAGTATGTATATTTATAAAATCATCACATTGCATACCTTAAACTTATAAAGGGTTATATGTCAATTATATGTAAATAGAGCCGGGGGTGGAGGGCAGGTAGTGAAGTGAGGAAGGGCAATGCTGAATGTTGCGTTCAGGAATTCTAGAACAGGAAACATGAAGAACTTTCTGTTCTGTACTTAGTTGTGGCAACGTCATCTTAAACTGTGGGGGTAGATTGCACACTTCCAGGCTAGAATGTTTGCATCACTAGTATGACAAAGGTAAGGGAAAAATTGCCTATACCTTTTTATAGATCCTTCTAAAATATGAAACAAAAAAATTAATATCTCTGTCTGATCAGGCATAGAACTATGGAATGTTAAGCTTCGAAAAGACCTTGGAAATCATGTGGTCCAACTGTTAGATTAGTTATAGAGCAGAGATAAAGGAAAATGAGGTGTTGTCTTCAGGTTCACCTAACTTGCTACTGATTGAGTCCACGTATCCTGATTCCAAAGCTGATGTTCATTCCAGTACATTTGTGCTGTCACCTCAGAATGACTTCCTGCCTGGTTTTCCTTAAAAAAAAAAAAAAAGAAAAAAAATCAGTCCTGATTCCTTTCTTCTGGTTTAGTTTAATAGCATGTGTGTGTGTGTGTTTTTGTTTGTTGTTTGTTTGTTTTTACTCTAAGTCTTTGGCTAAGTTCCATTAGTCATTCTAATATTGTCACTTTGCCAACTGCCTGAAAAGATTATAGCAGACGATCTAAGTAGAAATTGAGCAACCTGTTTACTTACACTGATTATAGGCTCATTGATTATGTAAATAGTCTTTATACTTTAATTAGTATAACTGTTAGGCATACTGTTCTAGCTGTGTCACAGTGAAGCAATTATTTACATTTCAGTGGATCACCAAGGAGAGTAAGGAACTGAAAGTTGTTTTAATATCATTATATTAGGATTAAGATGGTTGTAAAGAATAAGGAAAATTAATATGGTTCTGCACATATTTAGTATTTGGTAGATTACATAAAAGCGTTATTATACTAAAATTATCAATTATATGTTAAGACTGTTCAATTAAAATTACACTACTTGAAAGATAGAACTCTACTTAATTTCACGGGAAAGAATTGACGACATTGGAGTAGAGTTCCTTTTTTTAAGTAAAAGAGACATGATATATAATCATTCTAGTACAAAATTAAAATTTTACCCTCAGTGTGGTACAACAGGGTACTTTGTAACAAGTGATTAGCATTCACAATTTTATTTTAGATATTTAAAGTTTTCTGTTTTTCTGGTTAATAAGTAATACATTCTTCTCTAAAAATTAGTACCTCAGGAATCTATGAAGATTTAAAATCACAAGTCTCCTATTACCACACATAATGTTTTGCAACCTGCTTTTTAATCTTGAAATTATATACTGAACAACTTTCACTTCAGTACAGATGTATTGGTGCTAGATAGTATCCCATTGTGTGTGTGTGTGTGTGTGTGTGTGTGTGTGTGTGTATCTCACAATTTATTTAACTTACTCTCCGTGGAAGCACATTTGGATTTGTTTCTAATATGTTGCTACCTTCAAAGCTGAAATGAACAGTGTTCATGCCACTTTGTATTTCTGTGGTGTTGTGATTTTTCCTTTCTCATTCGTGATTTGGAGTCCTTTCTCTTTTCTTTTTGATAAGTTTGCCTAGGGGGTTATCAATCTTATTATTTCTTTCATAGAACCAGATCCTAATTTCATTGATCTGTTCTATGGGATTTTTTTTTTGTTTCTATACCATTTATTTCTTCTCTTATCTTTATTATTTCCCTTCTTCTTGCTTTAGGCTTCATTTGTTCTTTCCTTATCTCCATTAAGTGTAAGGTTAGGTTGTGTATTTGAGATTTTTCTTACCTTTTGAGGTACGCTAGTATTGCTAAAATACTTGCCTCTTATGACTGCTTTGGCTGCATCCCAAAGGTTTTGGATCATTGTGTTTTCGTTTTCATTTATTTCTATGTATTTTTTTCCTGTCTTCTTTAATTTCTCAGTTAGCCCATTCATTCTTTAGCAGGATATTCTTTAACCTCCATGTATTTTTGGTCTTTCCAAATTTTTTCTTGTGGTTGACTTCAAGTTTCATTGCTTTTTTAACAAATTATTTATTTATTTATATTTTGAGAGTGTAGGAGAGCACAAGTGGGGAAGGGGCAAAGAGAGAGAGGGAAGGAGAAAGTCCCAAGCAGGCTCCACACTGCCAGCATGGAGTCTGATGCAGGGCTTGAACCCACAAACCCATGAGATCATGACCTGAGCTGAAGTCAAGAGTTGGATGCTTAACTGACTGAGCCACCCACATACCCCAAATTTCATAGCTTTGTGGTCAGAAAATATACATGGTATGGGTGCAGTGTTTTGGTATTTGTTGAGGCCAGATTTGTGACCTAGTATGTGTTCTATTCTGGAGAGTGTCCCATGTGCACTTGAAAAGAATGTGTATTCTGCTGTTCTAGGATGGAATGTTCTGAATATATCTGTTAAATCCATCTTGTCCAGTGTGTCATTCAAAGCCCTAGTTTCCTTGTTGATTTTCTGCATAGATGATCTAAGTGCATTGTTAAAGTCCCCTACTGTTATTGTATTATTATCAATGAGTTTCTTTATGTATGTTACTGTTTTGTATATTTGGGTACTTCCATGTTGGGGGCATAAATATTTACAATTATTTATACCCCTTTTTGTACACTGTGTTTTGTATGATTCATTCTTTAAAGTGGAAGAGTAAAAAAAAATTAAAAACTACAGTGGAAGAATAGACTCAGATTTATGAACATTAGAAACCGTGCCAATAAATTTATGTATCCAACTGAGACATATTATGAAAAAGTCTTTTTCTCTATTCTTCATTCACAGAAAAGCATAGCCCTACACACAGCTAAATTATAGTCAGAGGGGGAATATGTTCATTTTATTACGTATGCCAAGTAAATGGCTATATCTTATTTTAACACTAATGTGAAATTAAGTATAACCAATCGCCATGAGTTATTTCCTCATTCATGTAAGCTTTTTTACTTGTTACTTCATCTTTTCTATCTAAACTTTCAGTTATTTACAGACTGTTGAGTAATAATATAATGACAATGTTTTGTGACTTTCCATATTCATGCTTTGCTTGTTGCTTTGTTTTATGGCAGGTCTATGCCAGAAAGGAAGCTTTAAAGGGAGGTTTGGATAAAACTGTAAGTCTTCAGAAAGATCTGTCAGAGATGCACGAATGGATGACGCAAGCTGAAGAAGAATACCTAGAGAGAGATTTTGAATATAAAACCCCAGACGAATTACAGACTGCAGTTGAAGAGATGAAGGTAAAATAAACCAAGTAAAATGAAACAAAGAAAGAAAAAAAAGAAAGACGCAACATTGCTTAACATTGTGATTCTGCACTGTCTGTTCTTTCCTTGGCTTAATAGTGGAGGTTTATTTTTAATGAATTCAGCTTCAAGTTCGGTACACATTATGGATTCTGAAACATTTATTTCTTTTAATGCATTGTGGTCAAAATATAAATATTGGCTATCACTGTAAGGAACATTTTCCCCATGAAATTATATAGTATTAAGATATTGGAATCAGCTTGTCACATTAGCTGTTGCCAGTGATGAAAATTCAAATTGAAAATATATCAAGTCTTAATGCAGTGACAGTTGAAAATGTAGTTAACAACCTGTGTTAATTTTTAAAGGGGGGTTCTAAGAATTTGGATACTAAGTACTTTAACAGATGGCTTTTAATGTGAATAAAAAGCACTGAGTTTACAAGGACTTCTTCTGAAACAGTAGCATAAAAATTTATGTTGATTTGGGACCAGGGAAAGTAGTATGTAGCAGGGACTGGGAAGTGAGGCCTGAAGTAGAATCTATGCAGTGGCCTTGGAAAACTCAGATCTCTACTTTGTCATGTCTGCACCATGTCATTTTCGTTTCTTTCTTTTTTTTTTTTTTTTTTAATTTTAAATTTTTACATACATATGATTTTTTTAATTTTAAATTTATCTATGTACATTCCAGTTAGTTAACATACAGTGCAGTATTTGTTACAGGAGTAGAACCCAGTGATTTGTCACTTTACATACAATACACAGTGCTCATCCCAACAAATGCCCTTCTTAATACCTGTCACCCATTAGCCCATCCCCCCACCAACACCCTACCTAGCAATCCCCGGTTTGTTCTCTGTATTTTAGAGTCTTCCACCATGTCATTTTCTAATGTGAATGTGTGTACTGAGAGTTGAAACTTGCATGTAAGTAAATTGCCTGACTCAGAGTGGGCCTCCAGTGATTTGTAACTATAATGATAATTGTTATCTTTCTGTACTAGCAGTAACACATCATTTAACCACATGAGCCTACATTAAATATTAATAAATATTTGGCTCATGGCCTCATGACAAAAAAAAAATCATTATGGAGACAGACACTTGTGTTTAAAATCTGGTTTGTTCCCTTGCCAACTGTTGGTAAACATGGTTGAGTTTCCTAAACCCAATGGGCTTGACCCCCTCATTTGTGGACTAGGTATCAAAGTGCCTGCTATTCAGTACTATTATAAAGACGAAATAGGAAAGTTCTCAAGCAATGTCAGGCAAAAAATAGACACCCATAACAAAGTAATTATTATTACCGTTATTATTGTCATCGATGCTGCATGGTAAGAAATTAATTACATATACTTTATTATATAATTTATATAATTTGGTGAATAGTTATTATAGGTAGAAAATACATCACAACTGATATGTTTAAATATCACTAGAATGGGGCACCTGGGTGGCTCAGTCGGTTGAGCGTCCGACTTCAGCTCAGGTCGCGATCTCGCGGTCCGTGAGTTCGAGCCCCGCGTCGGGCTCTGTGCTGACCGCTCAGAGCCTGGAGCCTGCTTCAGATTCTGTGTCTCCCTCTCTCTCTGGCCCTCCCCCGTTCATGCTCTGTCTCTCTCTGTCTCAAAAATAAATAAATGTTAAAAAAAAATTTAAAAATAAATAAATAAATATCACTAGATTATGTAGTTTTTGTCACATGTACAAAGTAAAATTAAAACATATAAGGATATAAGACTATATTTGGGTAAATGGTGATAGTTTTCAGGGTATTAAAAGCTACAAAATTGTTCTAATCTAATAATACTACGTATCATGTATTCATATAAGCAAAAAAAAAACATTAATCGCATACTTACTATGTGCCAAGTACCATTTTAGACAATGAACATGGTGGTGACTAAGACATAAAAGTGACCTGACTTGGAACTTACGTTCTAGTGGAAGGAGAGCAGGCATTGAATGGAGAAATAAAGTCTTTTGAGATCATGGTAATTTGCCTAAAACAGGAAGCAAGATTGTGAAATAAAAAAATAATTAGGGTTTAGGTGGGACTTGCAGGCGGTGAAATGGTATTTTAGAAAGGTTTGACATGTAGGGAATTTGTGAGACATTATCTTTAGTCTGAGATATGAATCCTAAGAAAAAGCCTTAAAAAAACCTCATAGAAGCACATTCCAGTCAGAGGTAAGAGCTCCTACAAAGACCTTAAGTCTCATTGGGAAGAGAAAGAAGCCTGCCAGCCTGAAGAGAGTAAAACAGGGTAAATGACCTGAGATGATTTTGAGGGGTTTGGTAGATAACTGCTGATACAGGAATTTAGTAGGGTTTGGGGGAGTTTTCGTGAAAAGTGAAAGGGGAAACCCATTGTAAGCCTTCAAACAAGAGACTGTAAAGATTTTGAATTTGACTGTGGGGAGGTCACTCTTAGGGAAATTATATCATTATAGATGGTGAGAGCTAGAAGATTCTTTGGAAGCAAAATAGTCCACACTTGGTCTCTGGTGATCCAAAAACTGAAATCTTCACGTAGGTTGAATAATGTAGTCATAGTCACAGGCTTTATCTGTGGGAGAACTAAGAGTAAAGAATATATTTAATTCCCACCCATGCCATCCCATCCCAAGTGATTCCAAGACATTGTTTTTTCTTTTGTTTTGTTTACCTTTCAAGTCATGTGCATCCCTGTTTGCTTTCCTCTCACACTTCAATCCCCTCCTGGCTGTTTCCACAGTCTCCTCTAATATTATGTAGCCACTGCCCCAGATCCCTAAGTAGATAATCAGCAGTGAGCTTGTGTGCAGCTGCTGTACTTCTCCCAGTTCCTTTCTTTGGCTCTGTCCCTCTTTTGGCCCTCTTCCCTCTCCCCTTGAACAGTTTGCCTATCTGGCTAACCAGATCCTTTTTTTTTTTCCAGTGCTACAGAGCAGACTGTGTGATATTTAAAACTTTTACACACAGTTCTCGATATGAGAAACCCAATTAGTCCACTTTGATTTACTTGTTGAAATAACTGATCTAGCTACCACATTGGTCCAGTATGGGGTGATACTGGAAAGAGGAAACGCTTGGGCAGCCTATGACAACAACAGCCAAGGGAGTTGGCAAGAAGAAGATGCATTTTCTCGTTTGTTTGCTTTTTTTTTTTTTTTTTTTTT